GGCAGGCGGACTCTCAACCACTGCGCCACCAGGGAAGCCCTCTGGTATAATTTGAATGATCACTGATCCTGAACATCCTAAAAGGAGAGAAAGGCTGTCAGCTGCCCACGTGACCCAGGGCCAGCCTTTGCTCAAGCGCTTGTGACAGGCAGCCGTGACGTGGACGTACTGGCAGGACGTGCTCCCCAGCAACCATTGCCATGTCCAAGAAAGTGCCTGGTGGGGCCTCATGCTGGCTGAGGACCTAGGGGAGGTGTGGTGTTCTCTCGGGTGCCGGGGAGGGGGAGCCTCCTGAGAAGGTGCAGGCCCGTCTCCTGGGGCAGACCAGGGACCAAGTGGAGGGACTGGTGAAGTGGGCCCCTTGTCCCCAGCTTCCCCAGAGCTTCTCGAGGAGCCCCATGTCTCCAGATGACCCCTCCCAAGTCTTGCCTTTGCTCACCACAGCCTCAAATGACCCTCTCCTTTGTCGCTCAAGAAAACTCTGTTGAACGAGATCATTGAGGACTAGCTAAAAAGTGTTCTGCACATGTAAGGGGTTATATGTATTAGTAACATTTGACCCTAGTTTTTGCAAAGTATATTCTAGGGAATGTTAGCCACTCAAGATTCTGCAAAACAGTTCATGGTCAAATGAACTTCGGAAATGCTGAGAACTATATGGCCTTCTTAGAAATGTACAGTGAGCTTTAGTGTGTTTAAAGCCCTGAAAACTCCTGTAGCAAAGAAGCCCGGCCTTAAACCGCAGGACCCCCTTCACCCTGCAGCGTTTCCTGTCCACAGGGTGTTTTGGAAACACTGTATATCTGCATTCAATGAGAGAAAACAAACAATATCATTTAAAACTCCCCTTTCCCAAGTGGGGTTTTCTCAGTATATTTTCTTTCCACAAAGGAAGAGTAACTGAATTACTTTACATACGGTATGAAAGACCGGTTGTGGCAGTATTCATTCTACTGATCCTTCTTTCTCAACTAAGATGCATCTGAACTCATCAGAAGTAGTCAAGATGGAGGCACCTATTTTAAAGCAAGGGCAGGTATTTGGGGACAGGGCTGACCTCCCAGTCCTGCACTCACTGCGGATAAGGTAGGGCAAGTCCCCTGCCTCCTATTCCTGTTCCCTCAGCCTATTTCAAAACCAAATCACGACAGGAATGCCTCACCCTGATACTGACAAGTCTGTCTGGGGACAGAGTGGAAGGGGTCACCTTGGTGGGAAAGGCGCCCAGACCTTCAGGACCCCAGCCTCCAAGGCGTGTCAGGAGAGAGACTGGGGTTAACATAAACCAGGGGGCCTGATCTGTCCCATGAAAATCCCAGTGCACACCTGGGCAGTGCCGCTGAGTTGTTTAAGCACGGACTTCTCTGTCAGCCCTTGGATCAAATCCTGCCCCGCCTCTCTCCAGCTGTGTGACAGTCTGGCAGTTACTCTCCCCCTCTGAGCCTCTGTTTGTCCATCTGCAAAATGAGGAATAAGGACTGTGATTCATAAGGGGTAGTCAGGATTGAATAAGATCTTAGCACGGTAACTGAACCAACAGTCAGTTACCCTTATTACCTACCCTCAGTGCTCTGTGTCCGCAGGTTCTGAATTTAGATCCCCGCTTGGTTGAATCCGTGGGTTCAGAACCTGCCAATGCAGAGGGTCAACTGTATTATACCATTTCATATAAGGGATTTAAGCATCCACGGACTTTGGTATCCGTGGGTAGCCTGGCACCAATCCCCTAGGATACTGAGGGACGACCACATGTGTGTGTATGTTACGTATACACGTACACACATATATATACACATTCTCCACCCCAATCCCACACATCTATACATACGTACATACATACATAATGAGCTAGTGATTCCCTTCATTAAAACTCTTTGCTTTCTAAAAGCTTCAACACTGAGATCCTTACTACAATCTCCAGATGGGAAGATCACTAGTAAGACTTACTAAGAAGACAGATTCCTGCCCCCCACACCCTTTCCGAGATTCTGGCTCTGAGGTCACAGGCAGGGTCCAGGCGTGTGTGTGCTTACAAGCTCCCTAGGTGAGCGCCCTCAGGTGCTTGGCAAGCACACTGACAAACCCTACGTTGTTCAGGTAAGGCATGATTCACTTTAAACGTGTACCCACCCACGTGTCACCCATGAACACCCTCAAGCAAAAGCCGGGTCTGTCTCTGCAGGTGGCCAAAGGTCACGTGACCCACCCACACATTTTTTTTTCCTGCCATATGACATCGGGGCCGCTGCCTGTGTGGCTGAGCCCTGTAACAGAAGTGACGGCACACTTTCTGGAGCTGCTGTGTGACAGCGGACGCGCTTGGGCCCTGGAGGATGGCGGTGGGTGATGGAGACAGGGCACAGCAGAGAAGGAAGTGACGTGAACAAAGTCAGGGGGCGGAAAAGGCAAAGCGGGCTGGGGTGGGGGGAGCGGAGCACCTGCCGTGAGGGTCAGTGAGGAGGCCAGGTGCGGAAGGTGTTCGTCAGCCGAGGGAGGTTGTAAAGGCCTTGCAGGGCCTCATGGAAGCATCATGGGGGCCAGTGCGGGCCTCTGAGCAGCAAGTGCTGTGATCCGATTCATGCACCAGGAGTAATGCTCGGCCACTGTTGGCAGGACGGATGGAGGCGGGCAGAGGGACTCAGGATTACCTACTCAGAGGCTGTTACAGTGTCATTCCCAGGAGATGCTGCGAGGGACCCACCTCAGGGCCAGGGAGTGGTTGCAGGGAGGGAGGTGAGAGGTGCTGGGAGGGGCCCCTGCACTAGATGATGGCTGCACAAATCTCCTAGAGGACATGAGGCAACAGGATGGTGAGAGGGGAAGGAGGAGCCTCAATGCGGCTTAGCAGTCGGGGGGGGGGGGGGGGGGGGGGGGGGGGGGTGGGGGCGGGGAGTGGGGCCAGAGGGAAGGTCATGGGTTTGGGTTAGGCCTGCTGCACATGTGGTGACAGAGCAGTGATGGCAAAGCCCACATGCCTCTCCCATTGCCCAGTGCCACCCTCCAGTGGCTAAGTGTCACCCCCTTCATCTTACCTTCCTGCTGGGGCAGGAGGCTGGGCTGGGGCTGGGACTGAAGGAGTGGCCAGCTGTCACAGACACTCATGAGGCCAGGAAGTGATGATGACGCCAAGGGGAGGGGAGGGAGGAGGGGAGGGGAGTGGAAGGAGGGGGGGGGGAGGGGAGGAGGGGGGGAGGGGAGGGGAGGGAGGAGGAGGGATGCCTTGACTAACCAAGTACACAGACCATAGCCAGAGTGGCAGTGACTGAGACACACCCCAGGGGCTTTCTCTAGTTTTGTTCCCCCCACAGACACTCCCGAAGCACAGGAAGGTTTCTTTAAATATAACTAGGCAAGTCAACACAGAGCAGTTGTAATTACAGGCGCTCAGTAGGCTTGGCCTGGGTCCTTAATTGGTGTTCAAAGAGAGGATACTGGGCCTTTTGTTAGGCACCTCATCAGTACTGGGGCGCTTTCTAGGACTAGGATAGAGGAGCCCATTTCACAGAGGAGGAAACTGAGGCTCTGACTGAGTCCAACCCTCACCCAGGACTCCACAGCTGGTAAGTCACAGCGGCAGAATTCGAACGCAGGTGGGTCTGTCTCCAGAGTTGGAGACCTGCCACCGAGGAGGCAGCCCCTGGCAGGGACAAGGTGGCCCTCCCCATTCCTGGATGTCCAGTCCCACCCCTGCAGGCTCCGGGCCCCCGGCATGTTCAGGAGACCACGAATGCCATTTTTTCCCAATCATTTGAAATCAGGTTTTATTTTTCTTAAATCAACATTCACTTTGTCTCCTTCAAGACTAATTCTGCTGCTGACAGGACGTCATTGGAAGTGACTCATTTGCATTCTCCCAGCTGGGGGCTTGGGTCCTGCCGCTGTGCAGAGCCTGACGGAACTGATGGACAGAGCAGGCTTCCTGGAACTGATTTTCCCACTCGCACTGGCGTTTTTCACTCGTGATTTGTGATTGATTAGAAGGTCAGGAGTTGGGATATTTAATTCTGGCTCACTGGTTACACTGGTTATATAGATGGATCCTATTAGAAGCTGGGGCTTAAGAAAATGAAATCGAATTTTCAGAACTTTCAAGATTTGTTCATAGATTTTCTGGGACTGGCCCTTACTTTTGTTGTTCCTCATGCTTCTGATTGCTAAGGTTATGGAAAATGAAGGAGCGCCAAGGGGAAGGCCTGGAAAATGTGGTCAAATCCCACCTTTTTAGAATATTATAATAGAAAACGCACTTGACCAATAAGAGATTAGTGAGCTCCTGCCATGGTCAGAGGCTGGAGACACGGATGTGTCAGTCTGCTCCTGTCAGGGAAATAGCCACGCTAGGCATTTCTCATGGAGGGCATTCAGTTCAGGGGATTGCTTACACAGAAGATGGGAAAGCTTGGAAGCCTACTAGGAGATGTGGAACAGCTGGGAGCTTGGCAACAGCAGGAAGCTGAGGGACAGATGCGTCAGGAGGAAAATGGTTATCAGAAGCCAGAAGCCAGAAGCCAGCTGCCAGGAGGGGCTGGACCATAGCAGGAGGGGCTATCAGAGGAGACCAAAAAGCACCACAGAAACAGAAGAGGGAGGAAAAGACAGAGAAACACCCTGGCTTCTCCTTTCTTTCCACTTTTCAATCTCCCATCAGTGCTCCCACGAGTAGAAACTAGCCCAAAGCCTGTTGCCAGAAAGCCTAGGAAACGTAGGCAACAGCACAGGGAAAGGAGGGGAAGGCATCTGAGAGCAAATGGACACCGAGGGGCACTCGGGGGAGTGGCCCCCAGGCCCTGCCCTCCAAGAGCTCCCAGTCTGACTCAGGCCTGGGAAGAGGGGAGGGGTCATCATGAACTGACCCTTCCTTGTGCCGTGCGGTGTGCCAGGTGCTTTCCATATGTACTGTAGCTCTCTTAATCCTCAACACAATCTTGCACGGCAGTACCATCCCCATTTTACACAAGAGGAAACTGAGGCTTGGCAGGGTTGGGAGGGTGACAGTACAGACACGGGAGGGCGGGGGTTTGGATGCAGCCTCACAGAGCCCAGGCTCCTGTTGGCATTTCCAGTGCCTGTGGCTGCCTTACTCCTGACATCCATCAGCCTTTGGGCTAATGTGACCTTTTCCAAATGCAGACAAACTCATCCCAATCCTAAAGGACAATGAAGTTGATAAAAGGGAGCACTTACTGAATTGAAACAAAACAGACTATTTTATTCGCCTTACTTTTAACTCCTATTAAGTACTTAAAAGCTCAATGGAAATGTTTTCTTTTATTAAAGTTCACTGTTTTAAGCTTTAAAAGCGATGGAAGGGGCTTCCCTGGTGGCGCAGTGGTTGGGAGTCCGCCTGCCGATGCAGGGGACACGGGTTCGTGCCCCGGTCTGGGAAGATCCCACATGCCACGGAGCGGCTGGGCCCGTGAGCCATGGCCGCTGAGCCTGCGCGTCCGGAGCCTGTGCTCCGCAACGGGAGGGGCCACAGCAGTGAGAGGCCCGCGTACCGCAAAAAAAAAAAAAAAAAAAAAACGATGGAAACCTCTCTAAAACTTCCCTAGAGCCCAGATCTTTGGCTAACCACAATCCCACAGGCTAGCCCACGGCTGTAGCCGGCGTGCTTACATGTGTCTGGGCAAGTGTGAGATGTGAGTGACTCTGAACACTCACTTTGTGGCACCTTTCACACTTGTAATTGTATAGTGATTTGTAATTCTTATTCATTGTCATTCCCATCCTCCTGGATCACAAACTCCCGCAAGGGCAGAGGTGGTTCTGGTTTGTATCCTACTCTCTACAGCCTCTGGTGCCTGCTGCTGCCTCTGCCCTTTGCCTGTCTGCATCGCAGACATGGTCAGCCAGGAAGTATTTATCAGACACCTCGGTGCCAGGGCCTGTGACAGATGCAGACATTTTTCTTCATCAACCTATTCATTCCAGGAACACTATCAGTCATCTACTCTGAACCAGACCCAGTGGCCAGGCACTGACGGGATAGAGGGAAGCAAAGTAGCCATGTTCCCTCCTACCAAATTTTGTTTCTAAGCCTCACAGGCTTGCAAGGCAGGCATCATTATCCTCTTTTTATACATGAGGCTCAAACAGGATAAGAAGGCTTCCAAAAGCACACTCCTGATTTGGAAGTGACCGGGCCAGGCATCTCACCTCCTCTCCCTGCCCGGCACTGCCCCTCCTCCTTGCTGGGCAGGGCAGGAGGCAGAGAGAGAACCTGCAAAGTAACTAGAGAAATTGGAAGATGCTGTTGCTTTATGTGTTTCCCATAATAAGAGAAGAAAATAAAAGACCCTTGTAATCCACTAGCCACTGATAAACAAGATCTTGTCTGTAAGGCCCTTAACCCAGCGTCTGGCAGGTAACAGTCACACAACAAATCTAAAACAATAGTCTGTAATTACTTGTTTTTAAGAACAAAATGGGACCATATTTTAAAACCCAAAAAGGAACAATTTTGCCCTCCAGGGGACATTCAGCCTTGTCTGGAGACAGTTGTCATAACTAGGGGTGGGGTGCTACTGACATCTAATGGGCAGAGACCAGGGATGCTGCTGAACATCCTACAATGCACAGGACGGCCCTGCAACAAAGAATGTTGTGGCCCCAATGTCAATAGTGCAGAGGATGGGAAGCTGGTCTCCTGGAGACTTTTCTTGCATCATTATTTTTTATAACATTATTTTCAGCAGACACAGAGAGATCGATTACATGGCTGATGATCTAGACAGTTGGAAGACTCTTTTTTCCTTGTAACCTAAGTATAGGATTAACCTGCTTTATCCCAGCTTCACAGATGAGCTTCGGCACGTTGCCACCCTTTGACTCATCCCACCCCCCCTCCATCTTGTTGGCTCTCTCAGGGACCATGGAGGAGTTAGACAAGACCTACTTCTTTGCAGAAAGAGAACTCCAAGACTTAGTTCCTATTTTTAAGTGCTCTCCCTCTCTGAGTTCCTTCTCTCCCTGTCACAGGCCTGGAGGCCCCTGTTAGTCCCATTATGATCTTGAGGGAATGTTAATGCACTTTCCAATAATGGGAAATCTGAAAGCCAGCGCCATGTGATGTGAGCCCAGCCAGATTAGAACAACTTCAAATCCCTTTAGACTTAAAGAACAGTGGCCTTGTCGGAATTGTAGGGATAATTAGAAAATATGGTGCCGCTTTCTCTAATCCGGGTGAGGTTCTAGGATTGCAGAGGTGTCAGCTGGGAAGCAGCTACATTTTCTGTAACAGGTGAGGCTATAGAAGACCTTCCAAGATACCCTACACACATAACCAAAGGGACCCTAGTCCCTTTGCTCTACCTTGGCCAGAGGTCGGGTCCCTAGTTTGTCGTATGTCAATTGCACCTCAATAGAGCTCTTTTTTTAAAAGTCAAAGCTATATGGTGGGAACCTGGTTATAACTCTGGCTGTAGAGATAAGGATTTCAATAAAATTCACAGAACAGGAGCCAGGAGGAGCCTTGGTGGTCATCTGACACCCCTCCCCCTGCTAGAAGCCAGAGAAGGGACTTGCTAAAATGGCCTACTGATGTGGAAGCTGGGACTCGAATTCATGTTTTCCCAACTTCCCCTCTAGATCGCTTCCCAATCA